GGGGCAGCCGAAGGCTTATAAGTCCCATTTTAGTTGGGTTGGTGGCCTCTTTAGGCTTGTAAATAAAGGTTGTGTCATGTGGACACGTGCGAGAGCTTTTCGGTCTGTAATGGACCATTTTACCCTTTGTTGTGCCACTGTTCAGAGCTTGTAAAGTCTGTTTGTAATTTGCATTGTCTATGAAGTGTTTCGGACATGTTTGCTTGTGGATCCCGATTGAGGCGTTCTCTTTTGCCTGTTCTATCTTTTGTTGGTCCTAAGGGACAATGGGAGTCTTCGGGGAGGCTGACCTTTGCGGACGGACACGCAAGGGTGCCGCACGACTTAGGCAAAACTAGCTAAGTCCGTGTCAATGTGTTACTTTTGCATTAGCAAAATCAGCCAACCGTGCTCAGGTCCACTCAATTCAGCTGATAGGAGCAATGAATCAATTAATATTGAGGCGGCCTTGCATGGTACATCGTTTCATATTAGAATCAGCTGATACGACGAACTTTGCTTTATAATTTGTTTTTATCTTTTCTCTCACTGATCTCTTGTTAGTTTATGTTGTCATCTCAATATAAGTTACATGTTACCTTTCTCTCATTAATTAGGGGAGAAATAATTGTAAGTGCAAAGGATAAGGAGGCATATTCTCAAGTGCTAAAAAAAAGATAAGGAGGCATCTTTTTTTGAAAAGTTATTACATTGCCTTCTTGCATTATTACATTGCTGTCCATTTATTTGATATTTTCTTATTCTTGATCTACTTGTATACTTAACATCAAGATTCTTGTGTCATCACCATAAATCCATTCAGTTGATCCAATGGGTGGGGTTATTGACTTTTCATCTGCTCAATTTCATGTACTGAAAATTATCAGGACAACTAACTTGGTATATGTCCATCAGTTCAATCATAACTTAACTTGTCTAAGTTCATTGTATTTACACTATCTTATTCTACTTAAAAATGATTCATGGAGCTAGAATTAATTTCAATTATCCACAAATGGTTGTCCATGATATTCTTGGGTCATAAATTTAATGACATCAACAACCATGGTGTGCTAGGAATATATTGCAACATGTGACTGGGTCAGGATAGTTTCCGTGGCAAACAGTGGCATATATCTAAGATGATGAGAATTTTTGTAAGAGACACATAGGCGAGCTGCAAATGCTAAGATAAAACTGCAAATTATCCATGAAACATAGTTTTTGTTGATTTTCTTATGTTTTTGTTTTCAGAGTAAGTCTTGACATGATTTATAATGCCAGGAGACCATGGAATCTTTAAGAAATCATGGAAAGTATCAGAGGAGGATGTTTGACCAAGCTGTACAACTTGTTCGTCCTGGAGGAGTGATAGTATATTCTACGTGAGTAGTTTTTTCTTTAATATCCTACTTGGCAATGACTGCTGTGGTTTTTTTACCAAAAAAGATTTCTGGATCTCAAGATAAAACCTTTAAGCAAATTTTAGCATGTTAAACTTCTAGCTATAAAAAAATTATCATATTGTCAATTAGTGGAAAAATTATGTGTATAAAACCTTTCTCATTTATAGACTCTGCTAGGAAAATCATGCTATTAAGAAACTACAACACATATCAATATTACCCCATTGATTAAAAGTGTATAGACCAGCGGCTAGCTGTATATTATAAGTGAACTTTCTTGTCTAACACGGGCCATATTGCTGATTTTTAAATTATTCCATTATCAGCCAACTAATGCTTCAGCTATATAATGGAGAATAATTTACATCTTTGTTTCTTATTCCCAAGGATTATGTGGCAATGATGCTGATGATGCTATGATGGTGGGATAATGGCAAATGTCAAGTATTTGTCTATTCTAGGCATGAGATAGTTCAGATCCTGACACCTTTCCTAGACCCCTTTTTCTTTCAGATATTATAGTGTTCCCAATACTAATAACTTTGAGATTATTTTTCTTTTTTTCCCTTTTCTTGATATCCATATGATCACTGTTTGCAGCAATATTTGTTTGAAATATTTTAAATATTTGTCGGGGTTATCAAATCATTATTTTCAGTACAAGGTGTTTTAATGCTCTTTTTAAATGCAGTGAGCAATATTTCAAATTCTGCTGTCAACATTAATCTTTGTTCTTATAGGTGTACGATAAACCCAGGGGAGAATGAAGCTTTGGTTCGATATGCTCTAGATAAATACAAATTTCTCTCTCTGGCATCACAAGTAAGATCCGGTATTTGCATTAATTCTTTAGTGTACTATAACTATGGTCTCAGACTCTCCTATTTTCTTTTGACACTAAGGGTTACTATTTAGAGCCTTTGGCTATCATTGATGAACTTGCTTATTAGTTGGCGAATGAGTGCCAGTCACTTCTGATAATTGTGCGTATATCTTTATTGATTCTTTTAATTAAATTGTAGCACCCAAAAATTGGAGGACCTGGTATAGTTGGCCGTTGTGATCTGTTTGGTGGGAAATATGTTGAGTAAGTTTCTTCTCTGTTCTCTTCTGCTCTATTTCTGTCTAAATCATTTGCATGTTAAAAATTTTGATCAGCAAACTAGCTCTTTAGCTTTGATAAAATTCAGTTACCTGAGGTAGTGAATAATCTGAATGACTAAATTCCAGTAGTATGAATATATGTTTTCCTTGTCTGCCTGCCACCATCATCATTGTAAGTGAAATTGAAATGTGTTTTTTTTTCTTTTTCACACAATTCCTGTAAGATGCAGCAAATATCTTGTGAAGTTGAAATGGTTTTACTTTAATAAAACATTTTTTCAGCTTCTAATTAGGTCTGAAATTCTTCATTCACAGGGAATGGCTAACAGAAAACGAATCTGAACTTGTCCAGAGGTTCGATCCATCATCTTCGCTCGATACCATTGGTTTCTTTATCGCAAAATTTGTTGTTGGTGAGAAAGACTTCTAAGGTACATCTAGAGCATCATGTGAGACAATTCCATCTAGAGCATCTCATATCTTTATTCGTTAAAAATATGCTTCGCTAATGATTATTCCTTTCTTGTCAGGAACAATCACCCGTGTGTAAGATGTGCAGCATGGGCATCCACGCCAATGGATAAGACCAGTGCAGCTTGCACAACTTCTGTGATAACAAAAAAGAGTTTATTATATTTGGTCATCGGATCAAGTTGACTTGTAAGTTAAATCTGAGATAATTTTGCTGGGAAACTCGATGCCAGGAAGGTCAACTCACCAGATATACCAGACGTCTATGCGCAGATTCTCTTCTATTACGGTCTTGTGTACCATGTCAGTATGAGACGCTAGTGCACCACTGCAACAGAACCAATGCTTGAAATCTTTCATTTTGTAACGACTTCTATCTTTGTTGGCCGCACAGGATGAGTTTGATCTATAAAAACGCTATCCTTGCCGCAGCTGAAGCTCAAAACATGGTATTCATTCTCTCATCAACTCATTTGTCATCCGGATGTTTCACCGGTTGGTAGGACATTTTCAATAAGAATTCTCTCTTTTTCAGTCCCAATTTCTCCATTTGTAGTCTCTTTTGACTTTAAGAAGCTCCTTGTGACATGAATTGGCTTCTGACCTAACAAAAGAGATTATTCGGGATGCCACATAATGTATTGATAATTTTTTTTTTATCTCAACTAGTAATTATGTTGAAATAAGTGCAAGTTAATTTGTTGATCAGTTTGGAAAATAACTTAAATATCTTCGTTATTTGCATAGCTGCGGAGGGATCATGTGCATTACGGCAGCTTGAAACCAGGAAGAATAGTATATTCTGAAGACAGTTTCAAACGAAGCATGTGTATCATCTTCAATTATAGCAGCTTTAAGCAAATCGTTGCAGGTACGTTACTCTCGTCTGGGGAGGAAATATCATTGTTAAATATTACATAAAAGTATAAATCTGAGAGTTGAATGTGCAGACAACTTATGGGTTCCTCCTTCCGAGAACATCGGTTGTCACTATTTTTATCTGGGTACCATCAGATTTATCGATCGAGTAGTGACCAGCATACGTTTCCAACACATGCAATCAACATATCACACTGCTCAATAATTATACACCACACGCTCCGACACAAACCTCCCAACACTGGCAGCTGCAACATCCGAAGGCTTCATCTGTTTGCCTTTTATCATGTTTTTGTTCTTTTTGATTAGAGGAGGAAAACAATGGATCAAATGGGATGCACAAAGAAGAAAAAGATCCTGCAGAACCACCAAAACCTCAGGGTTTCATCTTCGGGGTTCCAAATCGATGCACGCTGCGATCACTGCTTTGTGTCAGCTGAGCAACTCCTTTTCTGCGCTCATGGCTGGTTCGGACGAAGGAGGTGCCATTTTCTTTAGATTTTGCTGATGATAGACTTGTCTAAGTCTCTCGATCTCCTTCTTCAACGCTTCTTGGTGCGCTGCGGTGTTTAAATAACTTAGGCTTTATATAAAAGATCAAAATTTATAGCAAAGTATGTTTTATATATATATATATATAAAACATACTTTGCTAATTATTTGAGGCTCTCAAATAATTACATTATCCGGTTGGGTTGAATTCTAATCACATTTACACCAAGGAAGCAAGAACTTACCGTCCTTAAATATACCGTCCTGCGCCAATGCTGCAATGCGCTGCTTCAGGTGGCTATTGCCCAGCGTGAGAAGCGACCGTTGGTGATCGAGGAACGCGATCCGAGGAGACAGCGCAGAGACTTCGGTCTTCGTTTCCACGCCCAGCGTCGATAAATGCCATCCGAGTCAGAAGACTCCGAGAACTGAAAACTGAGAATTCCGAGGAAGAAAGCTACCTGCAACGTCGTCACGCTGCGCTCCAGCTCCGAAATGTACTGAAGCTTCCTCACCCGCGACCTCTGCGCCGACTGCCGGTTCGCTAAGATCCTAAGTTCGATGCATGTGTTGCCGCAGTCAATGTTCGTGGCTAGCACGGTAAGAGTCGAGATGGGGTGAATGCATCGGTGCATTTACATACCTCTTCACCCTCTTGGGATCGACGGCTGTGTCCGTCCCCGCGGCCGGCTGTGGCTCCGCCTTGCACGCGCTCTGCGCCTCCTCCGACTCGTTCTTCGGCTGCTGCTCGGCCAGTTTGTCGTCGTTCATGCTGCTGTGGTCCGACGGCGTGGACGACGAGGAGGCCGGGACGGCGCCCGACAGAGACGACGGGGGCACGTCGTCGGAGAAGATGCACATGAGCTGGTCGTCGTCGAGGCGGTCGAAGTCGCCTCCCTCGCCCGCGAGGGGCTGCTCGAGGAAGGCGATGGAGTCGCTGACGGAGCGGCGGTGGTGGCCGCGCTTGGCGGAGGAGAAGTCGAGGAACTCGTCGACCCAAGAGGGTTGAGATCTAGGAGCTGGTGGCGGCGGCGGGGTTGTCAGGAGCGGAGCAAGGTTAGGCCAGTTTGGGTACATGTTGTTGGGGATCTTTGGAGGGAGCTGTGCCATTGCTCTCTATGTATAGCACCGAATGATTGCTAGCTATAGCATCACCTTGTTGAGGATAGCACTCATCATTAAGACAATGAGTCTCTCTCTCTCTCTCTCTCTCGAGCTTGTGCTATGTTATGGAGTTGGAGGTGGTGGTGACAGGTTAAGTTAGCTCTGCTGGGTTGGGGGAGGAGGGGAGGATTTGGAGGAGAAAGTGACATGACAATGGAAGAGAAGGAAAGACAGCTAGCACCAGCTGTTAGAGAGAGAAGAAGAAACCGAAGAGAAGGGAGAGAATGGAACGGAGTTGGAGATCAACGGTGTTGCAGGGAAGTCGCAGCAGTAGCTGAATCGAGTTAGGGAATCAGCAACCACCACGTGCTGATGTGACCGTACATTTTGGTCCTCTATGAAACCAAAATACCCATTACACACGTTAAGCGACTCTCAATTCGTTGAGCTGTTTCAGAAGTGGAACTAAATGATGGAAGAGCAGTAGCATGTGGTAGACGTCGAGCCCAATCATGCCTTCCCATGTGCACAGCTCGCCATGCACGCCCTCCTTAAATGTGTCCCTCACATGCAACAGCCCTTTGTGTCCCCTCGCTCCTTCCTCTTCTTCCCTTCTCCATCACAGCAGCATCTCTATCTCGTCTCCCTGGTTTTCTTTGGCAGTTTCAGGCTGTCTTGTTGGTCATCTGCGCCCGCTCTCAGGTTCAACACTATAAAGAATAGAAGACAATGCATCCTTGGATGTTCCAAGATCTGGAGAATCCATTATGCATGTAAACCATTCTGGCGGTACACTGTGTGTCAGAGAGGCATGTGGATGAACGAGTTGGTGGCATAGAGAAGTTTACATTGGACAAGGTGAAGGGAAAAGGTGGCCATCAAAATCTTTCATACTTTGGGAAAACCTTCCACTACATCTGGGCTCCATCTCCACCATATGGTCAAAAAGAAATTAAATGGGATAAGTGGACGAGAATGGGCAAAGAGGAAACACTACACGAGGCTGGACAACCCCACTATGTCGAATCTAAACGCTAAGTCACAGGTAAGGAAGGAGAAGGTGAAAAAGAAACTGGTTCAGAACAGCAGCTCTGAGCAAGATGAACATGGTGTTTGTCAGAAGCACTGTTTGGGGTCCCGTTCCATTATCATGCAGTGATGATGGTCGATTGCCGATGCATGGTATTGTAGACCTAATCTGCGTTCTTGGAAATGGGGGTTGTTTATAGATCAAACAATGACAACACACAAGACAATTTGCTCGGCTGTTCTGCCTTTTGCTTGCTTACTTCACGTGTATATATATATATATATATTGGAGGAACCCGATCCGGCACAAGCCATATCGGGCTTAACCCGAACCCAGACACGCTGGTAAGGAAGGATCCGCTCGTTCGTGCGTTCGGTCGTCAGAGCCATAAGCCAGCCGAGATTGGAGCGTTATCGGGTTCAATTCGAACAACGCTGATAAGGACCCGGTCGTTCGTGTGTTGAGTCGTACGCAACTCATAACTTAACCGACATTGGCCGAACCCCAATCCGAATCCCGGCCACTATATAAGGCTCATCGAACGATGACGTCCTCCGAAACCCCCACTCCTGCTGCCTTCCTCAACTCTCAAGAACGGCTTCCGCCGTTTCTGTTATCTCCGTCGATCTCAAGAAGGGGAAGTGGTTGAGGCGGAGACCACCACGGGAGCCGTTCCCTTCCGGCTCCAATTGGATAAGCCCATCCCCGTCAAGGTCGATCCATCGTAACCCTAACACTTTCTTGATCTCTTGACTCTTCTTGATCTGTGATGTGTCTGCTTCTTTGGCGTAGATCAGAATGGGATCCCGAGAAGATATGCTCGCCGCGGTCACCGAGGACTCCATGATCGTAACCCTTGCATAGATCAAGATCGGAGCTCACAGAGGACTCCAAGATCGTCTTGCCTCATTTCAAGTGGCAGAGGCTTTGGATTATCCTCCTCCCCACGGTAAATTCTTTTGATCCCGATACTTCTATTTCCTGGGGTCGAAATCTTAGTGTCATTTGTGGTCTGCGTTTTGCACCTGCTAAAAGATTTATGTGGAGTTCAATCTTTTCTCTGTTTCTTGATTCTAGTTTTCTCCACTAACTTTCCGTGCTATGGGATAAACCACTTAGAAGGAAATGCGATTGATACATCAGCATTGAGGTGACGAGGCGTATTGACATAGATAGATCTGGTTACATGCAAGAGGAAGAAAAGAGATCCCGGACTTGTTGGTTTGGTGTTTGATGGTAAAGACTCATGAAATGCAAGTAAAGGAATGCTAAAGAGGAAACTGGACATTCTTGGCTACATATATGCCAATGGCTTTTAGTTGTGAAACCGACAAATGGTTGTGTCTTTCTTCTTGGTGATCACCTAAAACATCCTGATATCTAGCCACTTTGATTACACTATAGCGGTTTTAAGCATGGTTTTAGATATTGATCAAGTGCTGGTCTCGACACATTATTACACCGGTTGATGTACTAATTAATAGATGACAAGTTTTATAAGAAAAAATATAAAACAAAAAATAGAAAACAAAGACTGACTTATATTTGAGACCATGTTTTAAATGCCATATATTAAGTTATGATGGTTTTTTTCAGATATCTATTCTTACAATTAGTATCTCTAACATGCATCCTCTCTATGAGACTTTAAAAATGTCCAGGACTGGAAAGGGCTTCATGTGTTTACTTTTGCATGGAATTTATAAGAAAATAATTAAGTGTATGATTATTCTATTATGAAGAATTTGAAGTTAATGAGCTCCAGTTTTTGCTATTGTTTTTATTGTGGATGTAAGCTGTGGCCATCCTCCAACGTTTATTTTACTGTAACACATTATATATATTCAACTGAAATTACCGGTTCGCTCGAGCGTATAAGATTAAGTTGTTCGGGTCGAACTCTGAGCCTCTAACTCATCCTCTAAATTGATTTGTCTTTTTTTTGTGCATTGAATTTCATTCAGCAAGCCAGTGTTAGAAGCAAAATCGGAGACCTAATTTATAAACTTTTGTAGAACAAACTTCTCTCAACCAGATGAGGTCTGTTGGCTGTGCACTTAGGAAATTGTTAATGTCTCAGTTTCACTGATTTTAATTTTTTTCTAAAATTATAAAAATGATTGTTCTAAGTTGCAATTATTGGATGTCGATGTCCTTGGCCGACAATTTCAATTTTAGGTTTCAGTGATGATAATATCTACTTTTTGCAACATTTGATGTTTACCCATAGTTAATATTGGTGGATGAAACAAGTTGATGTTTGGAAACCTGGGCTTGAAATTTAATTAAAATGCATGCACCACTGAGACCGGATGCATAAAAAAAAAGAAAAGATTTCCATGGTTTAAATAATGTGTACACCTGCAATGTTTTGAGTTTGTGGAAAATATTGTTAAAACAGGTGATGTATGTTAAAACAGGTGATGTTTACTCATTGAAGCCCATAAGAAATGGTTGAAAAGAACTTTTGTAAACTCTGATTTGCTTGGATCAAAAAAATTGTGGCATGTGTTTGATGTATGTGAACTGATTAGACACATGTAGTCTTATGTTTGATGTATGTGTTCACTTTTCGAAAAGAAGAATATGCTGGGAATGAAGATCATGGTTCAGAGTAAGCATCCATAGTTTAAAACAGGTGACTTTGCTAATTATGTCATTGTTTGTTGTATATTAAATAAGTTTAATGTATCTGTTCACTTTTAGGAGTGTGTACTAGCAATGATATTCGATTTTATTAAGGTTTAGAAAACAATGGTTCAAATTAAAAAGAGTAAATATAAATACAACACACATTTAGTCTTGGGAAAGAGACTGACAGTTTAAATCAAACAACCTTCGATAAAGAACAACCAGTTTATTCTGCACTCTTGGTGCCAACAAAAATTGTGGTTGATTCCTGAAGAACGACAGAAGGTTAGTGTCTTTGGAGCTTAAATTTTTTTATACTATGGGGTAATGCAGACATTTTGTGTTAATTACTGTTAATAGGCTTTTGACATTTTGCATGATTAAATTTGATGTTAGGTGCATTAAATTTATAAATAAGTAAACATATTTGCATACATTTGTTGGATTGTGGTTCCGTGAAATTTTTGGGGAGTTTAGGTTGCAAATCATTGTGTTGGTGCAATAGTTATGTTAAGTGATTGCTTTGATTACACAATTTTGTTATAAATATGCTGTCAGTTGATGAAACAGGCAGATGTGACTATATAATTTAAGACATTCACCAAATAGGATATAAAAAGAAATTTCATACAAATTTCATAGATCGGCTGTCGTCAGTGGTTTTCCACGACATCTGAGTTTGTGTAATTTACTTTACATGGACTAAATTTGTGTATATAATAAAAAAATTAGGCATCTTTATTGTTTATAACAACGGTCGCTTTGGAGATGACTCTGAGGAGTGTTGAATACACTTTTATTTTATTTTTATTTTATACTGTGGATGCCAACTAAATCCGTCAATTTCTTCTTGTTCCGTTATCAGGAAGTTTGTTTTTTATTGTTTTAGATTGTTTATTCTTAAAAACTTCTCGAATGAGAATTTGAATTATCAATCTTTGCAGGTAAATAACGCAGCATTTGCTGTGAGCTCTGCCGCGGCTATTTGGAGTTCGTAATTTCCCGCCAGAATTCTTGTGACACTCCACGAACTCGAGTTGTAGCTGTTTCGTACGAACTCGAGAACCTTTCGAAAGTGCAATCTGCAGCAGCAAAAGTTTTTCTGGTCAAAAGAAAGGGTTGGGCAAAGCAATAAAAAAGAACGCAGATTGTGCTGAAAATTTTTCAGAATTATTTACGATTATTTTCAATATCAAGGAAAAGGAAATGCCATTTTGTAAATTTCTGACATATATTACACAAATTTTTAAATATTTATTTGATAGATTTTATGATCATAATTATAGTTTTATGATCATCCAGTTTTACGAGTCCACAACCAAAATATTTTAGATCAAAGTGGATGGACGGTTTACTAGGATAATCAAAATATATTACAATATCTTGCTCTGAATTTGAAGGTGAGCAAGACCAGTGATTTTATTCTCATTGTCTTTAGACTTAATTTCTACGAGGTTATGAATTGGTTGTCTATATATATCTACTCGCTCTCTACTATGTACGAAGGACCATCAATCCAAATTGACAAGATCCTGGTTTATGTGAGAATCAGATATGTGCCAGTTACTTTAGCACTGCATTATAATTAATTGTGTAAAATCAAATAGAAATTCTAATACTTCAAAAATATTTCTATCAGTTCATCAAAACTACAATTAAAATTAATTCATATCATATCAAGAAGCGTTATATCTTTTTTTTTTAATGTTATCTGACTGACTTCCCATAGTATATCAGCAGTTCCTCCTTGAACCAAAGGAGAAGTTGAACCAACAAAACCTGATTTGGCAATATCAAGTTCTCCCCTCGAAGCAAAAGCCCGGACAGGATGAGGCTCAAGCCTTGTCCTTGTCAGTTCGCTTTATCAACTCTGCAAATATGCTAAAAAAACCTATAACAAAGATAACATCTGTAACATCAAACAGGAAGGTATAACATCAAGATCATGAAAATGATCGAAAATAAGGAGGATATAACGTTGAATGTTCTTCAGACCAACAAAAATCTGGTTAAGTGGATCGAAAATAAGGAATGTATAACATTGATTGTTCTTCAGACCAACAAAAATCAGCAGGTATAAGATGGTCAAGTGGCTTCTATGTTGAATTAAATATGAAAGATGATAGTAACATAGATTATTCTTCTCAAACATAAACAGACTTTTAATATGCAAAGAATCACAGTTGTACATCTCATTACCCCCTGGGATGATACCTGCTCTTACCATTACTTTTCTTCTCAAAGGTCTTCTTTGGGGTAAATGAAACTAAGTCTCTGTTTTTCATAGTTGCATATAAATTCTGGAAATGCTGTGCTGTCACGATGAATGACTTTTCTGATATATACCCCAGAGACCATAGTAACTGTTTTCATTCTCCAAAGTAGTCTGGTCATTTACCGGTCTATGGAGGCAGCTGAGGTATGGACATTACGATTCAATATGGGTCTACAAGGTTCAAGGATGGACACAACCTAAATCTGATAAGTGAAGTGCATCCTGAACTGACCCATTCTAAATCTTAAAAGCCAGCCCTGATTCATCAACCTAGCAAGCCTGTTTTGTGCCAATAACTTTACCAAATCATCATCCATGTAATCAACTGTGAACAAGGAAAGTTCTAACTCGATTGACTTAATCGATCCAATCAGATCTAGGCAGCTTTAACCAAGGTCTTAAACATCAGTCTAACATTAATTATAATAACTTATGCAGCACATTTACATGAGAGAAACAGGTTAGTATTCTGTTATTGTGAACAACACAAAATTTTCAGTCAGATCGGCATAATCGACCCAACCAAACCTAGGCAACATTAAACATGGTCTTAAATATCAGTCTGACACTAATTATAATAACCTATGAAGTACATTTACATGATAAAAGAAGGTTAGTAATCTATTTTTCAGATGCTAAGGTCAAGGATAATGATTTTACTACTCAAAAACAGAAATCAAAAGATGATCAGTAATTTGTTCAAGCACTGCATTAATGGGTGATAGCACAAACCACAAGCTCTTTGATACTGACCTATAACACATCAAATCTAGAGATACTGATCACTCGGAAGCATGACTTTAATTCATAGCTAATCACTGGATCGGCCAAATCCAATGTGGACCACTTGACAACAAAACTTAACCTAATCTCCCTCGAATTCTGACATATATGGCCTTTCACTTCTATCATTGAAGGTCTGCTTTAGAACGACTAGCTCCAGTATCCATCACAAGAATAAATTTGCCTAGACAATAAAATTACAGAATATGTGATTACCTTCAACAAGATTCCAAAGAAGACACTATTCATGCTGCATTCATCTGGCAGGTCGGATCCACGTCCAGGCAATCAACGCAAGCCTCTATCGGATTCATCGCCATCGCGTACAGCCGGCAGTATCATTTCCTGGCGGGCACCAGTCCCTCGAATATCTGCTCCAAGAACATGTAAGAATTCACGAAACCGATATATTCAACAGGGAAGAGCAAGTAAATTTGATCAACCTAATGCTGGTGAGGTTTCGAGGGTTTCGATGGGCCTTCGGGAGGCAGCGAGTGGCGTAATTACATCGTTTCTTGGTCCTCAAATATATATGCTCCGAAGAACATCTCGGGATTCAAGAAACCCACCGAATCACAGTCAAGAAAGGGAAGAGGAGGCGAAACTGATCGAGATGCTGCCATCGGGGGAGCATCCCGACGCGATACATCGGATCTTGGGTTCCCAAGAACATTTCTGGATTCAAGAAACGCACCAAATCACAGTCAAGAAAGGGAAGAGGAAGCGAAACTGATCGAGATGCTGCCATCGGGGGGAACATCCAGACGCGATACATCGGATCTTGGGGGTTCAAGCGGGGTTTCAAGAGTTCGGGCGAGACATTCGGTAGGTGGCAAGAATGGGGAACCGCATCGCCTGTTCCCGATGTCCACTCCCTGCCCCCAGGAACATCACAGGATTCGAGAAACCAACCAAATCCACATCAAGAAAACGTAAGAGAAAGCGAACCTGAACGAGCTGCCGCCGTCGCGAGAGTTCGACGATGAGACGTCGGCGATCAATGTTTGTTAGGAGGCGGCGAGAGGAGCAATGGTTTGTTGGAGGAGGAGGAACGGCGAGGAGGGAAGGAGAGAAGTGAGCGGAAGCAGAGAATTGGGGGAGGGGAACCATAACCGCATCTCGCGTACATTCCCACGTCGATCATCACCCCAACGCTATAAACAAAGATACCAACACAACAAGCGTCGTAACACCGGTCGTAACACTCGTCAAAACAAACATTCATGCCACTTGGAACGCTAACCAACGAAAACTACTAAAAATCCCAACACCGAATTAAGCACCGAAGTGTTCAACTGCCGATTTGACTCATAATTAACCCCGTTCATGGGCTTCGTCACCCGACGTACCTCGTGACTCAAATCCTGACTAATCAATTAGCTCTCAATCAACCAAGAGGATTTGACTACCAATCAGAGTTGAGTGCAAGCAGAATCTTCCTAATCCGACCTAACATTGGGCAGGATTAGGCCGTGTATTTGGAGTCTTGTGTTCGACTCCGACACGACGTAGCCTGAACAACCCAACTTCTAATATTTTAGCTGTGTGGAGCCCAAATCACATTGACTCTAATTAGCCTGATGTGCGAACCAGGCCGTCAGCCTAAACCAACCGGAGCGTAGTCTAATCTGAACATAATTTTGATTGGTCCGTAGGTTAGGTTGGGTTACAGCGGGATTAGTTAATCGAAACATCTAGCAGTTTGACTTTCAAGCTGACATAATACGAGAGTTAAGGGCTTCATCATCAACATTCAGATGCAATTAAAGTACAACGTGATAAGCCTTGATATTTGGTAGTATGTGCTTTAATCTTCACATTCGTTGATGCTTTAATGCGTGGTGCTCCCCAAAGACAATACAACCTATTGCATTAAACATCGTCGAGCATAATAAGTAAACCCGAAGCGAGAGGCGCAACCACGACAGTGGAGGAAGGGGCAACCGGGCTTCCGACCAAGTCAACATTGTAACAACCGTGCCACGTGAGTCAAGTCATGGACGAGAAACGTGGCGTGTCGTGATACCAACTACTTTGAAACTGGAGACTCTGGTTCATATTGGAAGGGCCCACTCACCCACCAATAGTAGTTATCCGTTGATGCAAAATAAGATTCGACCCAGAAAAGAGAGGTAAAATTAAGAAGCTTTTACTGTCTCTCCAGGTCTTCCATCGCTTCCCCTTGAGCTCTTCTCCCTGTTGACCTATCCCAACTCAGCATCCTCCTGAACGACGAACCCAATCGCGAGGAAGCCGATCCCGAGTCCTTGGATCCCGAGGAGGAGCCTTCCTGGGACGCCGCGGCCGCAGCGGCTCCCGAGGAGTCCTGCGACGCCGCTCTTGGAGGTGGAACGGTGGATGGCTCGCTGACGTCGGGCGTGGCGGCCGGCCGAGGCTCCACCGCCGTGCGACACACCGGGCAGGTGGAGTGGGAGCCCAGCCACATGTCGATGCAGCCGACGTGGAACAGGTGCTTGCAGCTGGGCAGCGTCCTCACCGTCTCCCCTTCCTCCACGGCGCTCAAACAAATGGCGCACTCCGCGCAGCTCCCGTCGTCTTTGCTACCGCCGCCGCCTTCTCCTTGCTTGATTATGACTCGATAAGAATGCGTCGGGAGGGCGGCGATGGCGGAGGGGTCGAGCCCCACGTTGGCCGGATCGTCGTGGGCGGGGTTGTTCGCATAGAAGCGGAGGAGGAGGCTGGCGCGATGCCGGCGGAGGAGGACGTGGCGGACGTAGAGGTGGAGGAAGACAACGAGGACAACAACGGATGTCAGGCAGATGACGGCGGTGGCCAGAATCCTTGTGTTGAGGTCGTAGCTGTCCTTGTTCTCGTCGTAGACAAACCACTCGGGGGAGGGAACGCTGTTAGACATGGCGGCCCTGTTGGTGGTGGCTATGGCGGGTGTGGAGGTGCCCGACTCCTCCTCCTAATGCTCGCCTCCTTGTTGCAGATTCTAACTTAACACCCACCCAAATCTGAATTAAATACTTCGACAGAAATAATGAGTTTGTTGACTAACTTCTCTATGAAACTTCTCATATTTCAAAGCACAAGAATTGTCTTCTGATCATTTTGACCGAGTCTAATTTATGACATTATTGGAGACTAATCGAGGAATGGAGAATCGTGCATGATGTGATTCGTGGAGTAGAGAGGAGACGTGCGGAGGGCGGAACGGGCGACGGTGGCAAACGATGCGAACTCTTAACGAATTGGTATACGTGGAGCGAGAGCGATGGATAGCGGACGGCGGCTCGCTTTTAAGTTCGACCAAATTCCTTACGGAAAGATGGAGGAGAAGTTTTAGGGAGGGTAGACTCGATGTACCGAACATATAGCCGGTAAACGACGTAGCGAGTCATGCATCCTCCCGTGGCGTGGGGTGCACTCGGCACTATCACATCATCGTTCATGCTTGGAACGATTCCTTCACTCTTTTGCATCTTACGGGCTAATCCAAATACTACAAACATGTCAATTCAGTATAAAATCAGGGCTAATCCAAATACTACAAACATGTCAATTCAGTATAAAATCATTAAAGCCAGAACTCGAATGACAGAAATATAAAGAATGGTAGATCATCCGAGTGCGTTCAATTGTAAAGGTAGAAAAATATATAGAAATGTTGACCGAAAACTTTGGGTAATGTCACTGCAACTGTCGATCAGCTACACCTTTTCGGACCCTAACTCGGACACTTATTTCTCCGATGTAAATTAGGATTGCCTCTCAGGATATCCTAAACCTGTTTGGATTCGGAAAGCATTTATGTCTATTAAAGCCTGCTCCCCCACACACGCACACAGAAGAAGCACGACGAGAAGGCGAAGGCGAAGGCAAGGCGATGATGGTGGTTCACACTGCCGATGTGTTTTGGTTTTCCAGCGTTGCTTTAATGGAGGGGATGCAGGCGCTGCCACCGTCGCACAGGTCATCGGTCCCGGTGGTGATCAAGCTCCGCTACTCCGCGCTGCACTTCTTCAGAGGGGGAGTCACGGTGGCGCCACCCTCCCCCTGCCGCTACTTCCAGTTCGAGCTCAGCGAGTTCCTCCACCAAGAATCTCGCCGTCGCGTCGTCTCCTTACTCCTCTCCCATATAAACGTATACGGTGGAGATTTCTCCGTAGCTCAGTTCGTGGAGGAGGATTTCATCTCCTTATCCGACGACCTAGTCGAGCTCGCCTTGGGCTCGGGCAGAGGGATCGAGATGGAGATCGACGCATTGTCCATCAACGTCTGGGGCGAGGAGGAACATTCTTTCGACTACGGCCTCGGCGGGGACGGGCGGTTTGGCGGCGTGCCAGCCTCGTCGGATTCGATCGCGAAGCTGCAGGCGCTGAGGTACGAGGATGGAGGAGGCGACGTTCGAGAGAGCAGCTGCATGATATGCTTCGAGGAGTTCGAAGGGGGAATGGAGGTGACGCGAATGCCGTGCATGCACGTCTTCCATGGCGACTGTCTCACCAGATGGCTGGAGAGCAGTCGTCTCTGTCCTCTATGCAGGCACCAGCTGCCGCCTGCGTCAGCTGATCCCGGAACCGGACCACCTCCTCGTTCTTGGGAATCAAGTCCTTAAACAACATTTTTAACGGAACATTTAGCGTCATTGAAGGTTGATATTTCAATTAGAGAGTGATAACGGAGCCATGACACGGAGCATTTGGCGTTTCATGGCTCCAACCCATTTAGATCAAATGACATTAGTACAAATAATGAAGATGCAATTAGGTCACGCATTAAGAAAAAGTTTATCTCAGATCAGTTCAAACCTCTTGGGATGGAGTGTTAAAAATATAAATCGATAGATCATATCTCATTTAATGATTTAATCTTTATATGAAATAATATTAATAAAAAATTATTATTTTTGGCTAGTTAAACAGATAACTTGATGTTAGAACCGATCGATACAAGTTTATCACTATCTAATTGAAATATAATTTTAGCTAATACGAGTCACCTAAGCATATAAAATAACAAAATAAATTATCTTTCTGTCTCAGCTATACTTTATAAATCTAAGTAGCCAAATGCAAAATGCAAAATGCAAAATCTTTCTGTCTCAGCTATTACATATTAAGGTAATATATATAGATATATAATTCTATTCCACAAATAATTTGTAGATAGTTTATATGACTCGAACCTTAATCGTTAAGTTAATAAATAAATAATTATATTATAATATTAAAATTATTCATGTCGCTGTCGGCATATTTTGATACTTCAAATACGAATGTCCGTATTCAGCTTCATGTAATAGAAGGAATTTAATCTTCGAGAAACGTACCTCATCGTCGAAGACGCGTGGCAGGATGACGTGCCTACCTGATGTCCTGTGGCGCATATTTTGTGGCGGTCCATGGCGGGAGCGGGAAGATGGCACTTGAAACTGCGACTCCGTGGCGCTGGCTGCTGTGGCGGGCCGACTCGGGATTCGAAATTCCACTCGCATCCGTTCCGGTTCAGCCGAGTCGGACTCACCTGCTGCGAATCCTTTCGCTTCGCTCCTACCAAACAAATCCAATATTCGAATACAAATTTCCCTCCTACACCGCCTCTACAAATACCCCTCTCCTCTTCCTCCCCGCTCGGCCCCCCCAAAAGTCGCCTCCCGCATCCATCGATCGATCCATCTCTTGCTCTCTGGCAATGGCCCTCCACATCCCTCAAATCGTGGAGAACGCCCCTTCCTCGACCTCGACCGCGACAGCCCCGGTCGCCCTTTCTTGCTGTGCTTTGAGCGTCTCCTTCGACAAGCCGTGCAGAAAGCTGCAGAAGTGCAGGAGGCGGGTGCCCCTCGAAGACATCACCCACCTCTTCCGCAACCTGCCTTCTCCCCAGATCGGCGCCGCCTCCCATCTTGCGCAGCCGCGCCAAGCGATCGACGATGTAAGCCCTCTGGAAAGAAGAGCTCAGAATGCCCCGGCCGCAAGGGATTCCGGCGTGTCTCTCCGCAAGGGATTCCGGTAGTGGCTCCTGCGCGAGATCCACCTTTTCTATAGGGACATCTCTGAATCAATCGGCATTCGCTTCAAGATTCCATCAACGCATGCGTAGCTTTCAGATATGTTTCGCGCTCTCGGTGTGGGGGTATTTAGTCTGACGTACAATCTCGGTCAATAATTGGTTGATTCTGACAAACGCTGGCCGTTTGATTAACATCCATGATCACCGTTTATGTTGTCTTCTTGAGTGCTCTTTCGGGTTCTTTAGGAGTGGCCACAATTATGGTGGAATTTCCAATAAAAAAAAATCTTGGAATCCAATATGTATTGAGCTCTAATCTCCTATCACGCCTTTCTTGATCTTACTTGTTTTGAAATTTGTGGATTGCAGTGATTAGTTGATTCCATTCTAAATAATTAAGGCTTATGACTTTGTTGGTGTTGTTTTTATTATACGGATCGGTGGGTGAATTAGTGGCCACCGTACCGTTCCGATAGAATTGAGGTTTTGGGACCCAACAGCTACAAAAATAACTGATCATGAAAGACCGCAGAGGGACGGTGTCATGCGTTTCGAGTGCGCATTTTGAATTCTGTGCATCAATTAGCATGCTGATTCATGTAGGTGTGCTGGTGAGGCAAATGATCAGCGGCCATCGTGCGTAGGCAGTTTGGCATGCGGCGGGGTGGCGTTATCGACGGCACCTTCGAGCTCATTAGTGGCAATCGAAGCAGCCTGTGAAGAGGCATCAGATGGCTCCTGCCATGCCGAGAGGTCATCTGACAGCTACAACGTGGGGGATCTTTGTTCGCGGCCACTATATTTAGGTCATAAGTATGACCCATCAGAAGACGCTGCAAAAGAATGGAATTTAATTGCGCAAATGTTTCTCTTAAATATCGATGGAGATGGCGTTGATTCATTGTCTCTTACTCGTAGGGCGTGGCATGGCGATGGGGATCAAACTTGCGCTATGCTTGCTCCTATGCGTCGGGTTCGTGTGCACCGAGGAAGCACGGCTGCTGCATTGTGTCGGTGACTGCGAACACGGGGCTGAGAACACGGCGGAGGGCGTGACCGGAGGGCGAAGCTCGATTTGGGAGTTGGAGTGGGGGAGCGAGGCGATGAGAGCGGGTGAGAGGAAGAGGGAGATACCGGGAGGACCAGATCCGCACCACCACCGTTAGCCCGCTTGAGCTCTCGTCGTTGTTTCCCACGTCTTCAAAGGTCTGGTCGATCGTTTGCTGATTTCTTTCGTTATTTATGGGTATTATTGTACGGCTAATTATATTTTATTTTTATAATTAATTATTTTCGATATTTCGATTTTATATTTTAAAAATTATATTGAGATTTTTATAATCGATATGTGCTCAATATAATTTTTGAAAGCAGAAAGACGACGAGAGCTCAAGCGGGCTAACGGTGGTGGTGCGGATCTGGTCGTCCCCGTCCCTCCCTCTTCCTTTCACCCGCACTACTCACGTCGCTCCCCCAACTCCAACTCTGTGGCAAATTCAGAGAAATGAAGAGATGACTTTTGTTTGAGAATGAAGGTTGATTTATTCGGAACACTGTCAACTCAATGGGTGCTTATGCAACATTACGAAACGAGTGACTGCACGCGATAGCAGACCAGTGGTCTTTTATGAACACGAAAGCATAATGACTGACGAGGGGGATTGCACGAAAGGTTTTATTCATGTCTGCCAGCATAAAAGAATTCTTTTGTTTTCTCGACGGAAAGTCTCCCTCTAGATCATGGGCTGGCTTGTCGAGGATTTCACCGAGGGGTTTGCGCCGGAGGCGGTGATGATCCCCCAGCCACGCGCCTCCAGCACTTGCTGGATCGGCAGCGGAGGTAAAAAGCCACCACGGTCGCCTTCCCGAGCACCGCTCTTTCAACCACATTTTCTATTTCATGGCCAAAACTTTCAACCACTTGCATGTTCAAATTGATAAACACTGAACTAAAAACACTGAGAAATAAATTAAAAAAAAAAAAGATTCTCCCAAGTGGCGCTGCCACATGGCAAGATGCTTCGCTAACGAGCAGCAGCTAAGATGCTTCTGCCAACGAGGCAACCGTATTGACACCTGCAACATGTGATCCATGAAAACTCTGGACTCGGCGTTCAAAGGGATCATTTGCCAAAAACATCTCTATGGTGAGATCCTTTCCTCCGCTTCACTACACTTCCACGCTTGATGGTCATCTCTTCATGCTTGCTATCAAAAACTTCCGGCTTTTCACTCCTACCTAATCTACGTCTAGACTTTGATATCCTCTTTGAAGACAACACACTGCCATCCTCGACGTTCAGTTTCTCTCTGGGCAGGGGTTCATCATCCACCAACTGCCAGTTATACACAACATCATCCCCATTCTCGAACCGCTGAGCCACCGGCTCACCTGCCCCAGAGAGTACGTTATTAAAGGTGAGTTGTCCACTGTTTCCACCTTTCCGATCTAGAAGCAGAGGATCTGGCCTAATTATAGTTCCCAAAATGCTCCTTTGTGGGCCCAACCGCATGATGGCTTTGGCATCTGTTAATGTAGAATAAGCCATTGCAAAAGCAGACCTAACCTGCAGCATTTGAAATGATCGGAAGTTTAGCCAGAGTTACTAAGCGTTGTTAAAAAGCCTCAGACAGTGTTCGATAATTAGAATAAGCAGCACACAAATACACAGAAATAGGGTAGTAAAGAAATCTACGAAACTGACACAGCATGCAACAGAATAATATGACAATAAAGAATGAGTGCTCTATGTCTGGATTAGAATAATATGACAATAATATGACAATAAAGAATGAGTGCAGGTTAACTCCTTATTTGGAAATACACTCTCTATATCTATTTGGAAATACACTCTCTCTCTCTGTTGCTTGCCCGCTTCATCTCTAAATCTCGCTCGGTATATCCAAAGCCAATATAAAATCATCCAATGATATAGGTGCTCAATAATCACACACCAAAAAAAGTCTTGGCGCACATGCCATCTAGTTTGTCAAATTTTTGTAGCATGTAATGCATAAGCACAACTATCAAGAACATTTCATTTTATAGGATTTTAGGCATAGCAGATAAAATTTCCTTTGATGATGTGGCTTTTCAGTTTATATGTATCGTCATTCATAAAGTACAAATGTCAAGATGCAAGACAGGTTGGAGGTACTCAGAATGTGTGCCCTTGAGAATACTGCTATATGCTAATAAGGTGCCTTGGAATTGATCTAATGCCCCATGTGCAGCATCAAGAGGAAGAGGCATTGGACTGACCTTGAGTTCTGTGGGGTGTGCTAATTGGTCACACATATTGCCAAAACATGTGGAGCTAAATAACGCCAAGTCTAAGCTCTCAGTGGAATTCATACAACTCGATACATATGCAATTATGTGACACTCCATGTTTACATGCTTACGTTCTTATCCAATTTGCACTCCATTAGATCTGAGGCCTCTGATATAATTTTTTAACTCCATTAGAAACTCAAAAGTACAAAAATAGAGCAAAAAAGTACCTGGAAAAAAAAAGGAATCTGCCCTTAATTGATGTAAAACTCTCAAGCCTGTACTCAGTCTTAACTATGCCCACGAAAATGCAACAAGAAAACCAACATCTAATGCTAGCCAAAAGTGTGGCCATTTGAAATACTATAATGAAAATACATCATGGGACTAGGTGTGCCCTAACTACTCAAAGCACAAATGAACCACTATTCACTATGAACTATTTAAAAGAAACAGGTGAAACATGTAGCAAAAGCTTAGACAGAGATGCAAGATTCTCAATGTGCAGCACAAAAATTACCAAAACATTCTGAATTATCGCTGTAAAGCAAAAAATCAAGAGACAAGGTAAAGTAGAGAACACTTGCTTTATAGTAGTTGTAAGAGTTCCTCCCAATGTCATTGTCCGGTGCCTAGTTCATTTTGAATACATTAAAATGCATTAAATATTCATTAATACAACTGGCCTTACCAAATAACATAAATTAAACCAGATAAAACCACACCTGGGGATCCTCAATGGAGAGCAGATACGGTTTATCTAAGTTCATAAATCTGTAAATTACATGAGGGAAAAAAAGATCAACAAACATTATCTAACACTATAATTATGCAAGAAAATTACACCGATATAACTTCATTTTATTGAAAGAATTTACCATACCCTTTATCATTCTTTACGAAAAACAAACTTTTGGAGTTGCAAGATATACCAACATCCCAACTGTTTAATTTTCGCCCAAAAAAATCAAAGAAGCCAACCTGCCAAGAAACATGAAATAAAGATGAGAAAGGAAACACTAAATAGGGAAAATCATGACAACATTCTCATTCATTGGTACTCGTTTGCATTCATTTCTGCCTAGATCCCATATAATCTTTTGCAACATTGTAGTAGTCTCATGCAGCCTGATGGTAGATTTTGGATACTCTTTCTCTGAAGCTTGTCATCAAATTAAACATGCCCACTAAAGTTTTACACTTTATGAATATACTTAAATTTTGCTGATTGGTAGAGCTTATTTTTTTTAACCAAAAAACTAAGGGCAAAGATTAGCTGAGGTAAGAACAAGCATCACCCCTGGCATTAGAGCATAACAAAAGAAGCAAGATCCAAGAAACATCTCCCTCTTTAAACCTATCAACTTTGTTTGACCTGGCACAATTTGCCAACCAATCTACAACTTGATTAACCTCTTCTTCTCTTCCTACGAGATAAAATACATTCTTAATTACATTCGATATACTCCGAGGAGGAAGCTCCCAATTACACGACACTCTCCTTGTAGCTCACTTTCTTTACCACCTTAGAGAAAATTTCTTTGGTGGACAAAATCTTTCAGGCAACCATCCATTGCTTCCCAGAGGGACAAAGACATGGTACTTAGTGTAATTTATCTAGAAAGGAACAAAGTTACATTCCTAATAATTTTGGTAACTGGTTTGTCATATTCATGACCTCAAAATTCATCAAAATGCAAGTTTCAAAAAACCCATTAACAGTACAAAATAGCAAGAATTATACCAAAAGAATACCCAAATTGTGTTCCATAGGTTGGCGGTAATCCCGTGAATCTTGTCCTCTCCAATGCATCTGCAAACATGAATGCCCAATGCAGGAATACAAAATTTCAGCAGCAAAATATTGGAAAGGATTTAACGTGGCAGTAAGACAGGGCTATAGAAGTAAATGTCTCTATATATGACGGGCAAGTATAACTACAAAATGGATGGTCTGTGTCGAGTGACAAAGAACAAAATTATAGAACAAAGACAGATAATTCCTTTATGAAAATTAAATCTATTATAAAAGAACAGAGGAATATGTTAATTATAATATATCAGGTTCGTTCAACTTAAATACAGGATAGCTTCTAAAAATGTGATGGTCAACTAATTATATTACAACCAGAATAATTGTGGAAAACACACACACAAGCACACGTCTGATCAAGCAAAATAGCAACAAAAAAAAAGCATCACATTCTTTATATAAAAGCATCTCCTTACCTGTAAAAATACTATTAACATCACAAGAAGTGCATAGGAACCAATACCACCAGAATAAACCTGCAAACAGTACGAAAGAGGTGTTTAATACATGGGCCTTTTGAAAACCAATGAGCAAGACTGACAGTGATGAGACAAAACCTCATTCAGTTCTCTTTGATGCAGAAAGACTTTCAGAACCATACACAATGGTCGTAATGGAGGTATTTTTTGCACAGCTGCCTGAAAGATCAAACAAGAAGCTTAGTATGGGACACATGGATTCCAATATAAGACTATGAATATTCACTGGAAGACTGCTATCTGTTTGTAACGCATCATTAAGCTCCATAGTCCATAATGAGGACATGGATTGGTTTAGTAGTTCATGCAATTTTTTCATTGCTAAATTTTTTATCAGTTAGAAAGGAAATATGTAACTAAAGGAAGCTGGAGATTTATCTCTAAAATGATGACCTGAAAATTTCTTCAAGACATCCTAAATCTCAAGTCAAACAGATAGAATAGGAATTCTTCAGACATTATATCTTAAGGACGCTAAAGGTTTTTAGATGTACCAGAATAACTTTTGACAGCGACTTTGACACCATACTCTTGCATGTTAAAAAACAATGAGATAAACTAATGGTACACAACTCTATGATAAAGCAATAAGCACCTCTT